AAGAGACAAAAATCAACATACTGGAATGGCTATGAACAGGGCTTAGGGTTTGTAAAATAAAGAAGTTTCTAAGTCTTTAACTCCAAGCTGTCCTTTACCTCTGTGGCCACCACTCCTACTTTCTTCTCCACAATGGCTTAAAAATTCACATGAACCTGGCCGGGCACAGTGGCTCACGCCTGTAATCCCAGTACTTTGGGAGGCCAAGGCGGGTGGATCACGGGGTCAGGAGGTCAAGACCATCCTAGCTAACACGGTGAAACCCCGTCTCTACTAAAAATACAAAAAATTAGCTGGGCGTGGTGGCACGCATCTGTAATCCCAGCTACTCGGGAGGCTGAGGCAGGAGAATCGCTTGAACCCAGGAGGTGGAGGTTGCAGTGAGCTGAGATGTGCCACTGCACTCCAGCCTGGGCGACAGGGTGAGACTCTGTCTCAAAAAAAAAAAAAAAAAAAAAAAAAGTTAAAGGTTCCCACCCTAACTATTATTCGTGTCATAACAAAATAGACGGTGAGGATAAAGAAGAAATGGAGCCACTCTGATGTTGGTGATTGCTATCTCCACCTCTCTTTCAAGGAGCCCTAGCACCTGCAAGCCTTGGGGACATAGTGACTCACTCTTCCAGGGAAGCCCTCAGGGATCTTGGTGTGGGGAGAGTGAAGGAAAGGGGAGGCTGGTTTTCCAAGGCGTGTGGCTGAACTGAAAATTGCAGCATTGTTTATCATGGTTTCAAAATATTGTAAAGTGATGCCCATTTACTCTTTATCAATGAAAAACAATATTTTAATGATTTCAATTTTAAGAACAAGAGGGATTGCAAATAAAGTGTTTTTAATATCTTTGCTGCCTCTGCCATTTCTACAAAGCCTACATTTGTTAAGTTGTTAAGTAAAATGCTAGTTGATGTCTGGTGATATTTGAAAATTGAAAATAGAAGCAGGAATGCTTCTGGAGGAGAAAAAATATTGTGTAACAAATATGGTTTCTTTATTTAATTGTTCATAAAAGGTCTGATTCATTCATTCAACAATTATTTATTGAGCACCTGCTATATGGCAAGCAATGTTCTAGGCAGTGGGAATATAGCAGTGAAATGGTACACAGGGTCTCTGCCCTCATGGAGCTTTCATTCTTTGGGAGAGACAGATAATACATGGGTAAGTGTTAAGTGCTGGTGTACATAAACAGGCAACTAAAAGTACTAAGAAGAAAACAAAAGCTGATCAAAGAATTTAGTAAAAGAATGGATGGGAGTCTCTTTTAGAGGAGAGGGCATCTGAGCAGAGATGTTGGTGAAGGATAGGAATAAGTTTGGGTTCACTGAAATGTGATAGGAGGATAATGGAGGGCTTGGAGTTGAGGGTCAGGGAGGTTTGTGGCATGACTTAATTTATGTTTTTAAGAGGTCACTGTTTGATGCATGGAAGGTGCTTTATGGGGAGAGGGGTGAGGTGAGGGCACGTGGAAGGAGGGAGACCAACATTTTCCTCACTCAGAAGAAAGATGACTGTGTTAGTTCTTGTCTTCCTAGAAGAGCCACCAAGGCAGGATTAACTGTACCAGGATTTTGTTAAGGAAAAGGAGAGAGGGAAGGAAGGAAGGTTAAGTTAGTTGGGAGTGCAGTCTAAGAACATTTCAGCAAGGCCATCAGCGGAGCCCCAGGTCTCCCAGGAATAGGCAGGCCTACCTTAGTATTCCTGGTGCATTGTCACTGGTTGGGTTAAGCCCTTTGAAAGTGTCCCCTCACCCCTGCCCTGCATGGCATGGATGCACTGCAGGGCTTAACAGCTAGGCCCTTGTTCAGCTTCATCCCCTGCAGCAGAAGAACGAGGAGGTACATCTTCTATTTGCCACAACGTTGGTGACTGGAACAGAGTGATAGATGAGAAGTGAGAAGCTGTGAGGTTTGGGGTATATTTTGATGAGAAAGCAGACTGGACCTATGATCAAAGGGTAGGTGGGGTGTGAGGAAAAGAGAAGAGTCAAAACTTTACTTCTAAGCTTTTGACCTGATTGTCCGGCTGAATAGTGTTGACATGAAGGAGCCTGGGGGAGGAATGAGCTGAGGACCTGCCAATTTCAAGAGTTGTTGCTCCTCCCAGAGGGCCCAAGATTGTGATTATTATTCACTTTTGATTCCCCTCTCCCTTCCTACAAAAAGATTGGAGGAGCTTCTTTCTGTGTTGGACATAGAATGGAATAATTGAAACAGATAAAGAGATATTGGTTGTCCGTATATTCCCAAGGCTCTGTGGCAGGTGTAATTTGGAGTTTTCTAAGGGTAAAATGACTGTTTAATTTACCTTGATAGTTGATCTGGGGTCATTACCTTTGTTTTAGGTTGTTTTTGTCCTATGAAATTAAAATTAGTCTGAATTCCTGGGTTACTGTTCGGAAAGTTTAAAGTGTTTCATGCCATTACTGAAAAGGTACTTGAGGTATAAGCTGGCAGATTTTTGAATACAGGCCACACAGAGATTGTGGAAGCCATACAGGGGTTTGAATTTAAAGAAAGCCCAAGAAATACCATTTGACCCAGCCATCCCATTATTGGGTATATAACCAAAGGATTATAAATCATGCTGCTATAAAGACACATGCACATGTATGTTTATTGCAACACTATTCACAATATCAAAGACTTGGAACCAACCCAAATGTCCATCAATGATAGACTGGATTAAGAAAATGTGGCACATATACACCATGGAATAAAAAAGGATGAGTTCATGCAGCCATAAAAAAAGATGAGTTCATGTCCTTCGTAGGGACATGGATGAAGCTGGAAACCATCATTCTGAGCAAACTATCTCAAGGACAGAAAACCAAACACCACATGTTCTCACTCATAGGTGGGAACTGGACAGTGAGAACACTTGTACACAGGGTGGAGAACATCACACACCGGGGACTGTCATGAGGTGGGGGGAAGGGGGAAGGATAGCATTAGGAGAAATACCTAATGTAAATGACGAGTTAATGGGTGCAGCAAACCAACATGGCACATGTATACCTATGTAACAAACCTGCACGTTGTGCACATGTATCCTAGAACTTAAAGTATGATTTAAAAAATTTTAAAAAGCCCAAAAGATATGACTTATTACATGGCCTTTGACACATTCAGTAATTTTAAGCACACCTAACTAGGTGAGTAGTTATAAGACAGCATTGTGGGTTCTTCACATTTATTTCATAAGGGATACTACTTACTGCAATCTATATTGCTAAAGAGCTGAATTAGGTTTATTATGTATGTTTATATAAAACTTAAAATAATTAAACCATTCTTCACATTATTGTGATTTTAAACATCTACTTTGCTTATGCCCTAATTCTCACATTCTTTTTAAACAAACAGTGTGTGTTGATTCCCTCTACCACATGCCAGGCCCTGTCAGGTGCTGAGGAAACAGGATAATAAGAAGTCTAATCCCTCTCTTCTATAAATTGCAGTCTTTAACTGACCATCCCACAGTTCTTTATGTGTCATCCTTCCCACGCGTATCAGACAGAACTAGTCTTTGCACCTTCGCACCTGCGGCATCTAGCACCGCACCTGGAACAGAGTAGTGGCTCCGTATGTGCCAGATGATGGGGTGTACCAGCTGGGCTGGGTTGCCATCTCTTCAGTACAGATGCTGTCTCTGCCAAGCGGCCAGCCAGATGTTTGAAGTCTGGGAGCTTACAAGAGTGGTACGAATCTAGATCTACTGTCCCTGAACAGGCCTTGTTTGTTTTACAAGGAAAGGATTACTCATAGATTTGAAGACTCTAGTCCAATTCTACCACTGTCGTCCCAAACAAAAGCTGGAAAATTGAATTTGAGAAACACAAATGTACCAGTGTGACAATGGGAAAACTTTATGAAACTTTGAGTACATGGAACCTTCTAAAAGGATTTTAGTGTAGAATAGAATTAATAAATAATAGAGCCTCTGAAGATAGTAATTGTTGGTAGAAGAATAAAATAAACTTATTATATCTTATAATAATTGCCCCCAAGGAATATGCATCTTAGCCCGATAGAGATTAGGGAATTGGAGGAAAAAAATATGTACATGTGATAAACGGAAATATGTGTAGATATATATGTATGTATATAAACATACACATATATGTAGATTTATATGTATGTCAATTGACTCTGTTTACAATGAAATAAGCTGAAACTGCCATTTTCAGGACTTTGTTAACATAGGTTTTTGCTTCTTTAGTTCAGAATTAGAGTACAAGAACATTTGCTAGGACTTTAGTGTATTATTTAATCAAGTGAATGTGATTAAGAAGAAAAGTTCTGCATGAATGCTTAAATACCTCTTTAAAAAATAAAGGCAAACCTTTTTTTAGTTGAACATTGAAGTTGATCACATATAACTAAAAGGCAAAGGAACACCCGGATCAGCACAGGAAAAAACAGGCTTAGCTTGCAACTTGAGAAATTTAAGATAGTTATAGGAATGCATTTTTACTAAAAACCATTGCTAAATCAATGCAGGCAAATGAGGATCTATCCTGGTTCTTCTCACCTGAGAGAAGATTAGACCACCTTTCTTGGTAATACAGCCTCAGGTTTGTGTGTTCTCACTGAACACAAACAATAGGCCGGCTGACCTTTCACATTCCCACCCAATCCTGCAATTCAGCTTCATACCTCCCCTTTCAGCACAGCTTTCCAAACAGTAGCCAGGACTCCTCGTACTATTGAAGTATTGCCACTGTAAAAACTCACAGCATGCCGGCAGGTATTTGAGAAGATTGTGATGATGTTTTCTAACAGTTCATTTAAAACTAGAGCCCTTAATCAGTTTCTATTCGTTCCTCTTTATAGTTTCTGTTAGGTGGAACCATATGAAATTGCCATCTCTGCAGGTCACAAAGATCAAATATCTGAAATTACATATGGCCAATCTATAGCTGAAAATATATCAGTGTTTTCTGTATATTTTGTATTTTGCTTGGATTATTGTGCATTATTTTGTTTTGTTTTGTTTTTCAGCAATTGGGAGCAGTAGCTTCAGCCCACGACCAACTCACCAGTTCTCTCCACCACAGATTTACCCTTCCAAGTAAGATGTATTTTTCTCTTAATCAATAAATAACTTCTCTGAGTAGACTTTTATTTATTTCAAGTCATGTCTGTGCCCACATGTTCCATCTTAATTTAAATGAAAGTGCATTTCATAGAGATGTAAATATATTGACACAAATTTATTTTGAGCATCATGTAGTGGAGACACTGAAGTATTTCAGTGTTTTGTCAATTCTGTGTGAAAGTTTTACTTTTAAGATACAATATTTAGCTGGAATTTGTGATGTGGTTGTTAATCGGTTTGCATGTTTCCATCTAATGCATGGGCTTTCTATTTTCTGTCATTTCTGACAAATAGCAGACCATACCCACATATTCTCCCTACCCCTTCCTCACAAACTATGGCTGCATATGGGCAAACACAGTTTACCACAGGAATGCAACAAGCTACAGCCTATGCCACGTACCCACAGCCAGGACAGCCGTACGGCATTTCCTCATATGGTGAGTAACCTGCTATTATAGTGGTGATATTATCGCATGGGCATGCATGTATTAACATATTTGAGTGGTACTTGAAGACCCAATCCTCGGCCAGTTTAGAAAGTGTTGTCACGTTCTGTGTGTAAATTCTTAGTGTGATTGTTTCTAATGAGCCTTATAAGAACTGGCAGCAGCTTATCTTGAGGTCAGAGGTAGCGAAAAGATTGTGTGGTTCGTATGCCTTCTGCTCTCATTTTTCTCCATTTATATCTCAACCCTGAATTTGCCATTTGAGCACTGGGCTGTGGAATCCAAGATATTTTTGTGCATATTTGTGATAAAACGTCTGTGAATGAAGTCTTTGGGGGTACAGATTCATTTCCTATTTATCAGATGCCTAGCTGTGATTAGGGACGTACAAGTAGAATTCAACAAACTCTTGCTTTAAACTCGAGGGTGGTAATAGTCTCAAATTTCAGCATTATCGACCATTAGGAAAAGTGATCTATATATCACTGCCTGGACTGCACTTTGAAGAGGCAAATCAGGAAACATTTAAAGCTCACATAGACATTTGTTCCTTCCCACCTGGAGATTATCTTTATCTTGGTGTAATTTAACTCACTTGTTATGGGTCAATACCTGTAAATTAAAAATAAATCCAACAAAATCTCAAAGCTTAATTAAAAAAAAAAATCTCAGAATTTCAAAATACGTTTTCTTCCATTAAATTGTCATTGCGATTCTAAGTAGATTGAGCTGAATAGAAACACTTGAATTATTGGCATTTTATTAAGAAAAGAATAAAACTGGCCGGGCGCGGTGGCTCAAGCCTGTAATCCCAGCACTTTGGGAGGCCTTGACGGGCGGATCACGAGGTCAGGAGATCGAGACCATCCTGGCTAACACGATGAAACCCCGTCTCTACCGAAAAATACAAAAAATTAGCCGGGCATGGTAGTGGGCGCCTGTAGTCCCAGCTCCTCGGGAGGCTGAGGCAGGAGAATGGCGTGAACCCGTGAGGCGGAGCTTGCAGTGAGCCGAGATCGCGCTACTGCACTCCAGCCTGTGAGCGAGACTCTGTCTCTAAGAAGAAGAAGGAGAAGGAGAAGGAGAAGGAGAAGGAGAAGGAGAAGGAGAAGGAGAAGGAGGAAGAAGAAGAAGAAGAAGAAGTAAATTACTTTGTTCCTTTTAATTCTATCTCAAACAAAATCGACCGTATATGAATTTCTTATAAAATATATACAAATAACCTAAATTTTATATGACTTTAGCATTTATAGTTTTATTTTAAAACTGTCAGAACCTAATGTTATCTAGATAGGTATTTTTAAAGTAGACTTTAGAGACAGTCCTAAAATGGAATTTTTAGAATTATGTCTCATTTCCATAACTTTTATTCACAGTTTCTCTTAATAACATTAGCTATAGATTAAATTTAGCTGGAATTTATTTTCAAACTATTCTTGGACTAAAAGAAGAAAAAGGATCAGCTTCCATTCTATAATAGAAGTCAAGGCAGTCTTTGATTTATGTTCTCAAATTTTATTTGTGAGATGGTTATTTGAAGTGTAAATGTATTTTCCAGTCCACATGGTTCTGAAGTACTGTCAGCCCACCAGTGCTGTCATTGGAAGGTGCCATTCCCATCACGGCCCTGGCTACCAGCCACACACCTTTCTTCTTCCTTCTCCTCCCCATTCAGTCATGGTGGGACCTGGACATCTCCCTTTGCCAATTTCTGAGCTCTGGGTTAGGGGTTCCTCCAGTTCTAAACCATTAATGAATGCCCTTGTCTGAAATAGCTATTCAAAGATTGTGAGATGAGCAAAAGGTCTGGGAATAGAATCAGAACTAGCAGGTGAGGATGGGGATTATAATGGGATAGGTGGGGATAGGGGATGGGGGAGAGAGTGAGGCTCAGTGTGGTGAAGGGCTTTGATTCCAGAGTTTTCCATGGTTATAAATTCCCAGGGAATAATTTTCAGTTCTTAGCATTTTCCTAATAACCCCCTGTCTTCTCTTTTGGGAACTTGAGTACAAGGAGATGCCCTGAGTACTTCTGATCCAAAAGTTCTATTTTTGGGGCCAGTGCATTGAAAAATATGGCATCCTTCTCCCCTTTGCTCTTTCATGAAAGAAGAGCACATAGCTTGGGTTTTAACTGCTGATAGTCAAAGCTCAGATGGTCTTACAAAACTTTCTCCAAGGACTTGTGCTCTCGACTTTCTATTGAGACCCTGTAAGAAGAGATTGGCATATCTTTTTATCAAGAGAATGATAGATCAATGGGGAAACACAAATTCATTCTGTTTTTTGCTAGATCTGCTTAGAGTCTGCCAGTGAAATGAGTTTGCCACCTTGTAGGTAGAAGTCACAGAGATAGGCGTGGCTATGGGTGCTTTCTAGCTCTTTCTGCCTTTCCTTACATGTTCTTATCACAAAGATCCCCATCTGGAACCAATAAGCTAAAAACAGAATCAAAATACATGAATTAGGCTGGGCACAGTGGCTGAAACCTGTAATCCCAGGACTTTGGGAGGCCGAGGTGGGCAGATCACAAGGTCAGGAGATCGAGACCATCCTGGCTAACATGGTGAAACCCCATCACTACTAAACAAAAAACTGGCCGGGTGTGGTGGTGGGTGCTGGTAGTCCCAGCTACGCGGGAGGCTGAGGCAGGAGAATGGCGTGAACCCAGGAGGCGGAGCTTGCAGTGAGCAGAGATCACACCACTGCACTCCAATCTGGGTGACAGAGCAAGACTCTGTCTCAAAAAAAAAAAAAAAAAAAAGACATGAATTATTGGCATTTTATTGGTATAAGTGAAGGCTGGAAGCACATCAGTATAGTCTCAAATGCAGCAAGAGGTGGAAAATCCCTAGGGGTGACAACATGGAAAGAAAGGGATTTTCTAAAGCCATCATGCCACCTGTCTGGGGCAGGTGTATTTCCAGGGACCATTTCTATGTATGGGTTATTCATTGATTTGGGATTACCTCTACAGGGAAAAATCACATTTTTTAAATGTTAAGGTTGTGTTAAGACTTAAATGTTAAGATCATTATGAAGTTATTTAGAGATACTGCAGGAATTAAAGTAGGCACTCTCAGCCAAGAGTCAGATTCTCCCACTGCCTTAAAGCAATTACTTAGCTGCACTCTGCTGATGAGATTCCCCTAAAATGGAAATAAACAGTAAGACTACTGTGTATTCTAGATCCTAAAGATATCATTTATTTTAAGTACAAAGCAAAATTATTTAAAAATGTGAATTCCCTTGGCAGAAATTTTCCTCCCCTCCCTCTATGAAAATGAAGGAGAGTTGTTAACATGCATGACTGTCTCTAATTGTAATTAATTAAAGACAGAGCTTAGCACCATACCTCAGTGCTGCCAATTCCAAGTTCCAAAATTACGTTATTAGTCTGGTGTTTGGGGAAGTATTTGGGGGCCACAAATACATCATTTTTATATTATTATATAATAGAAACAAAGGTACTTTAGACTACATTGAAAACAATTGTAGACAAATATTTCACACTAAAAGGGACAAAAGGAAACTGCTGGTCGACCTCACTTGTTTATAAATCACTGCTGTTTTGTAAGATTCAGCTCATTAGTATTCTGCTTCCTTTGTGCTTATTTTCTGATAGGACCTAGATATTCAGGAAAAGCCTTTCCACCATATTGTTTAGCTCTGTGCCCAGTATTGCGTCTTTGGACTTCAAAATGAGTTGGTACTGAAATCGGCTTTGTAGTAGAAAGAGTAAAGGAGGGAAAAATACTGTGACTGTATAGTATCTAATTAATCATATATATATGATTATCATATATATGATTGTATAAATCATATATATAAAGGATTTTAATTTTGACACTAGTCAATATAGCAACTTTGGGATCATTTAGCTAAAATTTAATTATGGCTATTTCTTGACTGTGAAGGAGATGATCTTCAACTCTTACATTAAAACAACAAAATGAACTATGAAAATATATCACAGGAGTTACATTTTATAGAAGGGATGTGTGTTAAAGTGCAGTAAAACGAGAGAATAATGTGAATAGGCATTCAAATCTGTAATCCTGGATTTAAAAAATTGAAGTTGTACTTTATGGTATTTCATTGTATGCATATATACCCTTTATTTTTGAGAGAAGATTGGGGAAGCATTTGTAGTTAAACGGTTGTGGAAGTGTATGTTTTTGTATATTTGCCAGCTTTATGAAAATGGACAGATAGATAAGCTATCACTAACTGATTTAGGTGCATTGTGGGCAGGCATCAAGACTGAAGGTGGATTGTCACAGTCTCAGTCGCCTGGACAGACAGGATTTCTCAGCTATGGCACAAGCTTCAGTACCCCTCAACCTGGACAGGCCCCATACAGCTACCAGATGCAAGGTCTGTATACTCACATTGCTATTTTCCTTAACCCTATAGGTTGATAGTTAACTTCTAAAGTGGAATCTGATGTTCCATGTAAGTAGTAAATCAGGATGGCAACTGGGTTGGGCTTAGAGGCAGGACACCTGCTTCTAGTTTGTTTCGTCACTAACCTATTTTCTTTTCTTTTTTTTTTTTTTTTTTTGAGACGGAGTCTCACTCTGTCGCCCAGGCTGGAGCGCAGTGGCCGGATCTCAGCTCACTGCAAGCTCCGCCTCCATTTTCTAGGCCTAAATGTCCGTATTTGTAACATCAGGGGGTTAGACTGAATGATCTCTAAGATTCTTTCCAAAAAGCACTAAGTTTTTTGTGAAGTTGACATTTTTGCCTTTATGTCTTCTGTCAGTTATAAAAGAAATAAAAAAGTCAAAAGTCAGCCATGTAGGAGGTTGTGATACGGTATATACTAAAAACTTGCTCACTTGATATTACCATCCAACTTTTCCAAAGGGCTGTTTTCTTTATTTTCATTATGAAGTGAGGCTTGGGAAGTGACAGTCATAGCTCTAGAAATAAAGTATGTGATAAGTGTTGAATAATAATCTCCCAAAGACCAGTTGATCAGATTTACAGACACCCAGTGAATCTTTAAGAAAACGCTTGTAAGAATCAGCCCCTGGGTTCTGTTTTTGAAACTATAGGCAAGACATAATGTAAGTACAAGTCAAATGGAATGACAACTGTCATCTTCAAAGCTGGTCTCAAGAATGCATAGACATTACTTAAAAGTAGCACATTTGTTATCTTGCAAATAGATCTTTAAAGTGCTTGAGAATAGTTCTCACATAATTTAAACATTGTCCTAATATCTTGTCTTTACTACAGTTCAGTTCAATGAATCATATTCGGCCTCCTAATAGTGCCAAGCCATAGTTGAATCAAATCCCTGATTATCTCTTTTTGATTGAAGGGGTTCTTTTTATAGTTGTTGTTTTTATATATTTTATCTTATTCTCCATTGCATTAATAATATTTGTTTATTGCAGACAAATTATAAAATACAGAGAAGCAGAAATATAGTCTATGTCTCATACATTTATTACTATCATTTTATGTTTATCTAGATATACAGTATGGGCCCATTATTATATAACACAGTATTGCAACCTGCTGTTTTTAGTAACAAGTACATTTTAATCATCTTTTCACATCAATAAGTTCTGTTCTGTGGTATCCTTTTAATGGCTACATGGAATTAAATAGGTATGTCTTATTTAACTAATTCCCTATTATTTGACATTTAGAGCAATGCTATGCATGTCTTAATTATTTCCTTTAATTATTTCCTTTGATTATTTCCTTCGAATAAATTTAAGTATAGAATTTCTACATAAATTGTTTTATGCTCCTTTAAGGATTTCCTATACATTTACACAAGGAAGTGCTGGGTGTCCAAATGTACACATTTGATAATACCTTTCTTTGAAAAAAGTGTCATTTTGGTAGGTACAAGATTTAGTTTTATACACATTTAGAAAAAACATAAAACATTTTTTCTTCTCTTCAGTGGCAGTTATCTTTATTTTATTATTTTTCACATTAAAGATCTCAGCCTTTTTAAATGTTTTATTAATATGTTTCCTTAAGAATGATATATATATGTGTGTGTGTGTGTGTGTGTGTGTGTGTGTGTGTATGTATTTCAATTTATCATTTTTAAGAGTCTATTTTCCTGTATAGCAAACTACAATTTTAGGGGACAAGATCCATTAAGCTTTTCATATTTGATTTTGCATTTGATTCAAAAGGCCTGAACTATAAAGTTTTGACATATTCAGTGATTACAAAATAAAAACTGTTTTATAACAGATAGCATTTATTGGTAGAAGGATATTATTTATGTGCCTGATTCCAAAACTTTTATGCAGCCTTGGAAAAGAACTGTTCTACACATGCTGAATATCAATTGAGTAAAGGAATATAAAGAACAAAAAGTGATGGAAAGACTTTATTAATGAATTTAACAGTCCTGGGCTCTAGTAAAGAAATGGATCATAAGGCAGACAAGGTCTGTTTGCTCACAGAGCTTTCATTCTTGCCAAAGAGAGAGACAGTAGACAAGCAACCAACTAAATGATACAATTGCAGATTCCTCCAGGAGATATCAGGAAAATAAAGAGTGCTGGAGGGGTCCCAGGGTCTACCAGGGTGCCTGTGGTATCCAGGTCTCCTTGAGGAGAAGTGGATCCTAAAAGTGGGAAAGAGGCAAGTGAAGTGCCCTGCCCAGAGCAGAGCTACAGAATTGTATGGTTCTGGGCCTGTGCCCGTCCACAGCCTTGCCATTATCTGTCCACCAAAAGCCAAGTACAGAAACTGAGAGTTAGCATCTAGAAACTTTCATAGTCAGTCAATAATAAGTTTTATGTTTATTGAATCAAATACTTTTTTTTGAAATGAGACTTGTACTCTCTCTTGTTTTAGAGAAATTTTTTTTTTCTTTTAGAAGTATATTACTTTGTGTTTTGCTCAGTTATCAGTCTGTGGAGGACTAGAGGAAAAAACCGATCCTGGACCTCAGATAGTTTGAGAAATGTGCTTGAGAGTTACTTTTATCTTGCTCCTCTCCCAGATCAAAACTTATGCAGCAGAAACAATTCAAAACCAGCTATTAGAGTATAGTGCATAAAAAAGGGGAAATGAATGAGTAGAAAAGGAAATGAATTTGGAAGAAAATAAAACTATTTTTTAAAAGAAATAAGGACATGGATAGCACCAAATAAGGCATTGCTTTTCTATCCACAGATTTATTATCATCTGGGCTTACTGGATATTGCATTAAAACCTTTTGTGTGTTTTTGTACATCCCTTAGTTGAATGGCCTTTCCAATGGGACATTAGGACCCATTTCCCATGACTGAGGCATTGTTTCACATGACTATTTTTATAATGATATTTTATTCAGTTTTAGACTATTAGGTTGAGTATTCCTTTTTTTTTTTTTTTTTAAACGGAGTCTCGCTCTGTCACCCAGGCTGGAGTGCAGTGGCCGGATCTCTGCTCACTGCAAGCTCCGCCTCCCGGGTTTACGCCATTCTCCTGGCTCAGCCTCCCCAGTAGCTGGGACTACAGGCGCTCGCCACCTCGCCCGGCTAGTTTTTTGTACTTTTTAGTAGAGACGGGGTTTCACCGTGTTAGCCAGGATGGTCTCGATCTCCTGACCTTGTGATCCGCCCGTCTCGGCCTCCCAAAGTGCTAGGATTACAGGCTTGAGCCACCGCGCCCGGCCAGGTTGAGTATTCCTAATCGAAAAATCTGAAATCGAAAATGATTCAAAATTTAAAACTTTTTAAGCACTCACATGATGCTCAAAGAAAATGCTTATAGGAGCATTTTGGATTTCAGATTTTTGGGTTAGGAATGCTCAACCAGTATATAATGCAAATATTCCAAAATTTGAAAAAATTCAAAATCCAAAACATTTCTGCTCCCAAGCATTTCAGATAAGGGATATGCAACCTGTAATATGACTTCCACATATTAAGCCAGATGATAATATACTATAAATTTGAAAATTAACTTGCCAAAATGATGATGGATAATGCTATATAGTTAGCTACAGAATGTATATGGCCAGATTTGGGTACTTAATTGTGATTAATATGTAGTTCTTAAATATTAAATGCAGTATGAATACTTCTTCACCATTATTCAATGATTTTGGCCACCTAGTTGTGGGATTCTGTTGACCTTTGAGTGTCTTTTCAATACATGTTTTTTAATATAGTAATTTCTACAATGTCTAAAATTATTTTCAAAATTCCCTCAGTTCTTTTAATCCTTAATGAATAGCAGTGATTTTTTTTTTTTTTGCTTATTTCAATTTCATCTTATAGCTATTAAAATGTATTTGAATCTTGGATGAGAATATATTTTGGCAACATGGGGGATATTTTTGCCTAGCTTTATTTCCGGGAAATCTTTTCAACTTTTAAAATATAAGGTATGATGACTAGTTATTCAGAGATTTAGCTGTTCGAATTTAATATCAGAATTTTACAATGATAGAAGAACTATTCTAGTAGCCCAGGGGAAATATTCTAGTAGCCCCAAAAACTGCAGTGTGATGTGTATGCTTCCTTTAAGTGTTTTGCTGATTAAATAAAATTTATGATGATCACCTGTTTGGTTCTATCAAACTTAGAAAGACTGGAGTAAAGGTATAGTGAAATCTGGCTCCCTGGTTAGCAGTATGGGTTCTGGAGTAAGACTGGCTGTTAGCAGTTCTGCCTTTGCTTTCTGTGGGCCTTCAGCATGCGACTTGACTCCTTCACATCTGTTTCCTTATCTGGAATATGGGCGTGAGATCTCCCACAATAGTGTTGTGAGATGTCATTGAGATTGTAAATCACTCTGACCAACCTATGGTACAGAGTAAGAACTCAAATGATTGTTGTCAATTTTACTGCTCTCATTGCAGTGGTGATTGGTTACTATTATTTTCATTATTATTATTATGGTCCAGCTTTCTGGAGTAGTTCCAGATTAGGTAGCATTACCTAAATGCTGCTTCTCTTCCCCCCAAAACACACGAAATATAATTAAAATTTTAATATGTATAATAACATATATAACACAATATATTTTAGCCATGAAAGGGAACTTTAAGAAACCAATAACCAAATAAGCATAGCAAAAAAGGAACCAGATGTAATTAATACGCTGGCATGGAAGGAAACTTACTATCAACAAAGGTCAAGCTTATTGTACATGATCCCCAAAAAAGTAGGGGAGAAACAAAATGAAGAAGAAAATCAGAAGAGAGGAAAAGCTGTATGGCGACAGTGGTGAATGGGGTCTTGGAAAGTGAGAGTGAGGAAGCAAGGAAGAGTCACTGGCAAAATATAAACTCAGCTCTGCAGGGGTGGGAGAGAGTCAGTCATCAACCAAGTCCTTCTTGGTCATGAGAGGTCCTGCAGTCACATCTCTGCTTTGACTGCTAAGAACGTGTGGAGAAAGAG